AAACAGTCGTTTCTGCCCACATTTGACCAGCACCCCTGTCCAGGACGTTGCCCGGCGCGCTTGGAAGATGACGCTGCGAACAGATGAGGGCCGAGGTGAAGTCGTTTACCAGGCCGCTGGTTGAGCAATGCTGTCCATCCGTGTATCCTCTGTCTATTCTCGTGACCCTTCGTGGACTCAGTGCCGAAGCCGAAGCGGTTCGACCATGCTGTTGGTACGGTGAACATGCGCCGGAAGGTCACCGCCCATAATGTTCGTGGGTCATTCTGGAGAAGCTTCCTTGTACCGAGAGACCAGACCTTCCAAAATCCCTTAACTAGGGGATAGATTTTAATTGATATCAGGGATCCTACGATAGTTAGGGTCTATTCCTTAATTAAAGGCTTTTGGAAGGTCTGGGGACATACGGCCCAAGGCTCCTTTCCAGCCTGCCGTCGGCTCCCCGAGCCGTGTGCAGGCGAAGCATTGTTTTGGGATGAGGTGTATGTCTACGACAATGGCCCCCATATTTGGTTCCTCCATGTAGGGTGTTCTGGGATGATCTGTGAAAGCGATATATGAAGTGCTGTTGCTTTCACAATGAGTTGTAGAACTCATGCAGGTTCCCTTCTCGGACTTCCGGCTCGTGCGAGGTCCGATTGCTCCTTGGAAGTTTCATTGGATTCGCTCATGAAGGTGCAGGCTTCATGGGGTTTTTAGCGCAGACTTTCAGGCTATCCCGGATGCGCCGAAGCTTGCAAACTTGAGCGCGGTGTATCAGATTGGCTTCACGGCTCCTTGGCACACCATTGGCATGTCCCACACATGCCCAAAACTCTTGCTGGTTTTTCATCAGCATAGCTGACATTGCTGGGGTAGGATTCGTTTCCAACTCTTTGCTTTTTGGTGATGCATATTCAGTGCCTCCGTGTGTCGCGGCGAGGTATCGAAGTTTGTGCTGCCCGGCTGACACAAGTACTCTTGGGCTTGATTTGAGCAGCTACAGTAGTAGCAGGATAAGTCTTGCGGTACTCACAATCGTGCGAGCTAACCTCGAGACCAAGGCTTCAACACCCGAGCCATGAGCCTTTGTAGTCGTATTAATTTACAATAACATGGACAATACCATAAAGTAAAAAAGTATAAGATAAAGATGTTTCAAGTACATGGCAGCAATAGACCCGAAGAGCTTTTGCCCGAGTCGGGACAATTTTTTGTAGGCATTCAGCTCAGGATCAGTGAGCAGATGCAGACGCCGGGGGACCCGGACTGCTCACATCTGCCCCTCAGGGCTTCTTTAGGATCCCGGGTTTTGGGGCTTGGGATTACGAGAGTTTCGGCAGTCTAGCTGTTTTGCAAAGTTTCCGCTGGATTTTCGTGAAAATGGGTGCTAAAGCCTCCGTTTCGGGCCGATGCTCTCCTCGCATAGGATGCCAAAGGACCCGTAAGCCCCTAAGCTGGCGAAGGGTTGGTGCTCGGTGTTTCGCGCAGTTTCGGGGCAGCAGCTGGGTAACCGGGTGCCTGTCGCAGAGCCATATCTTTGAAGAGTGGCCGGGAACTACCGGTGCAGAGGCGCCGGGGATCTACCCTGGTGCCCTGTTTTGCTAACGAACCCCAAAGTTCTGCTGTGTTTCTGTTTTCCTTCTAGTTGTCCGTATCTTGATCGGATTAGGCCAGAATTCAGAATGGGGCCACACACTGACAAGCTTCTTGGATCAGGAAGACCGCTTCACGAGAAGCCTGCATAGCTTGAAAGCTTGAAGGCATAGCTCCTTGCAAAATTCCTTACACCCTGGAAAATACTTCCTGAGTCGTAGTTTTTTTGTTAGATGCACACTTTGAAGCCGGACATGGTGGCCCCAATCCTTAGGCTGGACGATTTCCGGAACGGCACCTTCCAGCTTGACATCGCGGAAGCCTGGCCGATTTGGAGTTTGTTTGGTTTCGAAAATGTGGGGTTTGGGCTTCTTAGGGAAGCAGTTTTATGTCTTCGGGAGCTTCCTAACCCCAACTCCCCGAGTAGACCTGTACATATGTATATATATAGTTTAACATATGCATATATAGTTTAACATATATATATATATATGTATAGAGAGAAACATAAATGAATAAAATAAATAAATAAATAGATAAATAAGTAAATAAATAAATAAATAACTAAATAAATAAATAAACAAATAAATAAATAAATAAATAAATATATATATATATATATAAATGTTTCTTTTTTTTTCGCTTTGTTTTGGGGGCTTCATGAGAGGTCACGCGCTTAATGCAAGCATAGCAACCTGCAGGCAGAGGCCCATGATAACCTGATTTCGTCAAAGTGGTTGTTGCTATGCTATAAGGGTCTATCTAGTTACCTAAACTATTTGGGGGGTTCCTTATTTTACGTATAGTATAATGGCCCCCAAAGCCTATTCTAGTTACTATATTACGAGGTGCGGGTTTTGGTTCAGGGATGTTCAGGGTTCAGCATAGTCCAGAGTGTTTTTTTGGGGTTCCAGGGCTCAGAGCAAAAGGCTCCCATGAGCCCCGACGGCCGCCGAGCCGCGGAGCTGAGGAGATCGGCGCGTTCTCGCGAAGTTCTCTCCTACTTGGCATGGAGGATGCCCCAGAGACTCTGCCTGACCAGGAGGCGAGTTGTGAACAAAACTTCGGAGCCCAGTTTTGGCTCCAGCTTCGCTGTAGGTCCGTGCACCGAGAAGGTCAGATTTTTCTCCATGCAGATCCTGTCTTGGAAACGGGCAATGCTTAAAGTCTTATGAAAGCATGAAACTCAAGGTTGCCAACCCTAAACCCGAAACCCTATGTTCACAACCCACTTGGGTGCAGTCTTCACTCCCCGGCCCATGAAAGCCTTCAAGCCTTGATGCATGCCCTGCACAAAGTCTCCACACTCTAACCCCCAAGTCGCAATGGTTTAGGGCTTAGGGTAACCACTTGCTGTAACCGGGCTGCTGGACAACGAGGCCTGCTGCAAAAAAGGGTTTGTGGTTAGCCGTACAACAACACCCACCAGCAGGCGTGCGAATTGAGAAGCCCGAAGCTTGTCCTTGAGAGCAAGAGCCCAAAGCCGTGATTTTTCGAGTTTGGTAGCCCCAAACACCTGGACCGCTTGAGCCCGAAGCTTTCGCATCATTGGAGCCTAGCGTGCTAAACATAACATAACCTGACAGTTTCAATGCTTACCCTAAGCCCTAAAACGCGCACCCCTTAGCCCTAAACTCTAAACCCTAAACCCTAAACTCTAAACCCTACACCCCTGAACTCTAATGCACGGGAAGCCCAAAGCCGCAGGTGAAGAGAAGCCGGCCGCTGGTTCAGAAGCTTCTCTTCCCCATCCTGGGCCTCTTCTTCAGCGAGTCTTGCCAGGGGGTTTGGGGTTGAGGGCTGAGCGCAGCTCAGGAGTTTGTGTCGCAGTTTGGTTTGGTTTTGCGGTGCTTTGAGGCACAGTATGGCGGAGGGTTGTTGGGGGAGAGCTTAAGTTGTCACCGCAACGCGGTAAGTGCAAGGTGTCAGCATTCAGGGTTAACCGCCAAGTGGTAGGGCTTGGGGTTAATACGATCGTTGAGTTGTGGCTTCAGGAGTTGTGGACTGTGGCCGTTTAGAGGGGTAGCTTGATTGGAGGCTTCCGTAGCAGTCAAAGGCACCTTGGAGGTTCATGGGTAGTTATAAGTGGGGTAACTATACTTATAACCCATAGTAGGGGGCTTTTAACCCTACTTATAACTATCCATGAACCTCCAAGATCGGGTGCAAAGGCGAGCACGCGGAAAGCTTGACATTCCGGAGCTTTCAGGATCGAGTTGAAAGTTTCTTGCAGGGTCTTCGGGTGTTTGTGGTTCAGGCTTGCAGTGTTAGAAACCCTAAGGCTCAAAATGACCCAACAGCCTTGTATCATACGGTCTTTGGGCTCAAAAGCCGTGAACTATGAGTCCTTAGAGCCTTAATCAAAGTTTCAGGCTTCAGGGGTTTGAGCCTTTAGGACTTTTTGGAACCTCGGGATGAGGCATTGCCGCTTGAAGGGTCATGAGATTCAGTGCATATGGCTGTAAGTACCAGTACGAACAAATATAAGTTATTAGTGTAGTTAGCCTAGTTGCAAAATGCCTGCTAACTCCCCGTATCCCTTGAGTGGTAGCTAGGTTTGAAGAGCAGGTATAGGCTTTGCTCCCTGTTACTTTCACAGGTTTCTGCACGTGGGTTTTCACGCGCTCTTCGGCAACGCATGTTAAGACCCATGAAATCACACCCCTTGCTCCTTGAATACGTGGTGGCCTGTTTAGACTTCGGGACTCGGGATCTGTCCGCTACTTTAGACTTTAGGTGTAGGCGTACTTACTCTGCATGCAGACACACCGACGATGTTCATGCTGAGCCCTATGCCCAGATGCTACCGAGACTCCGGCAAATCTGTCCCGAAAGTCAACGCACTCGAGCGCATGCAAGTCCTTACTTCCTAAGCCCACAGTGACACAGCATCCGGAAGAGTGATAACCAAGCCCGAAATCCGAAGCCCCAAAGGCCCTCACCCCAATCCCCCTGAAGCTTTGAGCTGGAAAACGGCTCGCAAAAAAAAAAAACACGCTAAATTCCAAACGCTATCTCGTGAACCCACCTTCAAGAAAGAGCGCTGGCTTGCTAAGCCATTTTGGCTGGTCCGTTTGCTTCATAGGCCCTCGTGAGGGGACACTGAGAAGAACGCAGTTGACTTGTTGGTTTATGGGCTTAGGATCTAGGGTGCAGGGAAGTTTAGGGCTGAGGGTTTATAGCTTGTGGGGTTTATGCGGTTTAGAGTTCGTGAGAAAATCCCGGTCATCTGACAGCTATTGCTTGCAGGACAGCAGGAATCCCCTACTTTTGGATGTCGCAGACTCACTCGAAAACCCCCGTGACCCATCCCCGACGTTGAAGACAGCCCCGCACCATGCGAGCCCAAAGCCCGAAGATGTCCTCAGATTTGAGACGACGCACACCGAGAACTCTTAATTGGGAGTTCCTCCCCGTTCTTCGTCATGGCGTCGTCGGCCCCATCCATGGCCATGCGCATTTCAGTGGACACGCCCCGTCATGGCCGCATCAGCATGGAGGTACCGCCATGATTCGTTTAGCTCTCTTTTTCTTCATGGTTGAGGTCTGATGTCTTCCATCATGCGGCTTAGATCAGTGCGTGGGGGTTTTGCCGCTGTGATGCGTCCCACGTGCTCCTGTCACAGCCACAGGCTTATCCTGGAGACACCTTGAACAAGATCTTCGAAGTGGCCGAATTGCGGCAACGCAGTGGACTCTCAACTGCATCTGCTGAAACCTTGCAAGTCTTGCAGGAGATCCCGAAACCCTCAAACCTAAGTCTAACCGGGCATAGCTGCCAGCAGTGCGAGAGGAAAAAGCCTAACCCCAAGCCCCAAGCCTAAACTTCAAAACCTAAGAGGCCCTCACCCTACACCCCAGACCGTCTCAAACCCTACACTCCAACCCCCCTAGTCATATAAAGCTTAAACCCACAGTCATGCTTCTTTCCACCCCAGCAACCCTTTAAGTTTTACCATCCCCTATAGTATAGAGCCATTGCAGCAACCCTCATACTAAACCACCCAAACCCCTCAACCCTAAACCCCCAAATCCAAAAAGCCTCAGCCTCAACCCACCCCCCCCCCCCAAAAAAAAAAAACCTACATAGCCAAGCCCTAGAACTTAACAGCACCTGATTCCAAGGCCGGCCGGGGATGGCTCGGCGGTTGCTTTCCTTGGGGCCCTTGCAGTTCGAAGGGGACGAGGCAAGAAGTGAAGCAGGTTTGGGGGTTTACATCAGAGTCTCCATAAGAGGATTTATAAGAGGTTCTGTAAGAGGTTCTAGAAGGGTTTAGGTCGACAAGTTTTAGGGTGTATGAAAAAAGTGTCTGGGGTTTAGGGTGTGAGGCATAAGAGATGAGGTGTAGGGATATGCATGAGGCATCTTGTAAAGAATTTTGGGAGAGTTGCTTCACAGGATGTCGATATTTTGCGATTTTCCGATTTCGAAGTCTTAGGGTTGAGGGTTTTGGGGCTTTGCAGTGCGATGGTTTAGGACTGCATTGGGTAAGCACTCGCCTGCAAGAAGCCGACAGGACATTCAGATGGCCGTCTTCGAGTTTGAGGAAGCTACAGGTAGGCGTGCTTGGGATACACCGTCCCTTGGCCGACCAGGGTTTGAGTGCAGGTAGAAGTGCCACTCCCCTCAAACCCGCGACCCCTGGCTCTAAACCCTAAACTCTGAAGGCTAAAAGCCCCTTACTCCGCGGCACGTGCCGGGCTCAAGGGGCTGGAAAGTCTCTTCAGGGAGAAGTCAGATTTCTGTACAGGACACTCCTTCAAGCACTCAGCTGATGGTCCCCCTGCCCCCAAATGAGGGGGTTAGGGTTCCCCTTTGAGCGGATTCCCCTTGAAACGGGCCTAGGGTTCCTTTCCCCTTTGTGGGTGAACATTGGGTTTGTGAGTGTCCTCGCCTGCTGAAGCCGTGGTGCCGGCGCTGTGCCTCCGAGCAGCTTCCAATGATGATGTGCCCTCGGTGGAGGTGGGAGTTTCAACAAAAATGGCTACACTTTCCTTTTGAGGGCCTCGTATTACAGATCTTATTATTTAGGGCTCCATATTAAGGGCTCCTTGCTTTCTGATGCAATGCTCAGGCTTTGTGTGTCACAGACGCCGCCAAACTGGCGGCGTTCAAGGAGCGGGTTGCAGAAATTTAGGGGTGCCATGTTTGGGAGACCGTATCGGAAGGATCCCTTGTATTGAAAATGAGGATCCTACTGTTCTGGGTTCTATACTGGGGCCCTGAGAATTGCAGCAGAGTCCTTGTAACCCGGATGTTTGTATTTGGGCTCTTATGCTGGACCCGTCGAATATGGATCCTACTGATTTCTTAAGGCTTAAGGTTTCTAAGATAAAAAGGATCGTCGTATTCTGGCATGTAATTTGGGTCCTGAGAAAACGGATTGTCTTATGTTGGCTTGAATATCAGGGTCCTCTTAGACCCTGAATCCTGAACCCCAAACCCTTACAGGACCCTAAGCCCTAAACCCGAAAGGACCGTGAACCCCCCAGAGACTCCAATATCCCGTAATTAAGGAACATTCCTTAAATTATGGCAGGATCCCTTATATGGTTTAAGGTCTATTCCTTAATTAAGGGATATTGGAGTCTTTGAACCCTAAACCCTAAACCCTAAACCCTAAACCCTAAACCCTAAACCCTAAACCCTAAACCCTAAACCCTAAACCCCCACAGGAGGCGATCGAGCTGAGGAGTCGCAGGGTCGCCGTGCGTATGGGAGCGCGACCGAGCTGCGGGACTTCTCGCTACCGATCACGGTGGGAGGTTCAGAACATGTAGGCGTTTCTAACCGGGGTTATAAGTAGTTATAAGTATAGCTACCCTACTTATAACCCTATTTTCTATGTCCCACGATCCTCGAAGTAGGGTTAAACGTGCTTCAGGGGTTTCTGGTACTAGGGTTCTTAAGCGGGCTTTATGCGGTTTTACAGGGGTGTTAGGGGTTTCTCGTGTTAGGGTTTTCTATAGGGTTTTGGGGTAGTTCTTGAACTTCCCAGGTTTGTACCATACATTGGTGCAAATGGACAAACCATGGCGAGAAATGTCAGGATCCATCGTTTCTCAATACTTCAGATCTTGGACAGGTGTGTTGCTGTATGCATGGCTTCTGGAAGCTCTGGGACGATCATTTTCAGGATCCCAACTTGAACCCGAGGAAACGACTCTTCAAGAACATATCTGCCAATGTGTCTCTGCTAGCAGCCGTGGCAGCCGACGGCAAACGAACACTACTAAAGAATCTTTGGCAAGCCCGGGGCCAGAATGCGGACTGGCACTTGGGTGACTGGCAAGCTGCGCTTGCGGCGGCTGTCTCGCGGAATGACCGCGATGCTGTGCGGTTCTTGTTGGAGCACGGCTGCCTTCGGTACGACTGCCATGGCTCAGAGCCTTCGTACCAAGGGGTTCCCCTGGTGATTTGGGCTGCCAGCCTGGGCTTCGGTGGCATTCTGAACAGTCTACTTGAGAAGAAGGCCTCCTTGCAGGTGGTACCCACCAGAGCAGGCTTTGAGTTCACGGCGCTGACAGCAGCAGTCTTCTTCAATGTGAATGGGGATGCTGTGGCTTTGATTGAAGATCTTGCCCGGAGACCTGCAGATTTCCGCTGGCTGGCACGACAGCAATGGCGTGGCAAGCCGTCATTGTTCCTGGCAGCAGAGCAAAATGATCAGGAGATGCTGAAGGTTCTGTTGCAGGCCAAGGTAAGCCCTGAACAGACAGCATCTTGGGGTGAAATGGCAATCCACAAAGCAGCTTATCAAGGTAATCTTGACTCGGTCAAGCTGTTGTGGAAGTTCCGTGCCAACGTGGAGGCACAAAACACCCGTGGGGCTACTGCCTTGATGGTAGCAGCTGATAAAGGTCATGTTGCTGTCACCCGATTTCTTGTGGTCGTTTGCAAGGCCAGCCTTCTCACACCCGATCTGTGGGGATTCACACCTGCACATCGTGTTGCAGTGACTGGCCGTACGAGCTGCATGGACATGCTGGAGCAGAACCACGATGCCTTCTTACAGTGCATCAATCAGCGAGAGCATCAGGGTCGCAACGTTCTGGATGTTGCTGCAAACTTCGGGCACGAAGATCTTGTAAAATATCTCCTGCCCAAGACTCAGGACAAAACAACGGCCCTGTCGTGGGCTGTGGGGCATCCTAAAGTAGTTGAGCTTTTGCTTCAAGAAGTACCCAGCAGCATTTCCACGAAGCAGGCTGATGGACGGACGGCTTTGCATCATGCTGCTTTCACAGGCAGTGTGGCAGGTTTGGGCGCCTTGATCCGAGCCAGGGCAGATGTGGGGAGCTTGGACAACACTGGATGCAGTCCGCTGTGTTCTGCAGCACGTGGCGCTCAGCCGACAGCAGTCGATCGTCTGCTCAAGGCAAGGGCACAGGTGAGCTCCGGAACTGGGGATTGGACCTGTTTGGACGACGCAGCAAGCTCGCCGAAATGGTGGGGCTCTGATTGGACCCGCTCCAAGAACTCCACTTGGCTCCTGGCAAGGTGCGCGGACGGGCCACGTGCTCAGTCCCTGGTTGCAATTCTGGAAGGCAGAGTCTCCGAAAGTCTGAATGACACTTGCAGAATTGGCAATCTCGGCTGGGCCAGCCTGCACTGGGCAGTTATGTTGCGGGACACGGCTGCGATCCGGACGCTTTCTTACGAGAATGCTGGGAGTGCAACAGATGCACATGGACGTACAGCCTTAAGTCTCGCTGCTCGTCTTGGTCTGCTTGAGGAGGTAAGTCTCCTTGCCCAGCACTCAGAGTTGAACAGTGCGGATGAGACGGGCTTGACTCCACTTATGTGGGCCGCCCAGCAGGGTCACGCAGAGACTTGCAAAAAGCTGCTGCAGCTCAAAGCGGATCCCCACCAGAGAGACGCCAGCCACAACACGCTCATGCACTTGGCCGCATCGAGCGGAAGCAAAGAGGTGGTTGATGTTTTCAAGACCTCGGACAGAAAGACCGAGAATTCTTTGGGGGAGACGGCTTTGTTCAGTGCCGTGCGTAGCAAGAATGTCTCCGTCGTGAAACATATGCTGTCCGAGCTGGGCTATAATGCAAATGACACCGATATCTTTCAGAGGACCGCCCTGTTTTATTCCCTGAGTTCTTGTCAGCAAGATGTCTGGGACGCCTTGTCGAAGCAGACGGACACCAACCAAAGAGACTACTTGGAGTATCGGATAGACGAGATGCCCGAGTTCAGGAGTTCTTTATGTGTGCAAAGGACAAACAGTGAAGACCTCTGGACGCTGGATGTTCCGGTGGTCTCCAAAAGCTTTCACGACAAGCTCGTGACTGTTGCAAAAGACAGCCAATTTCGTGGGGCGCTCCTGGTGACACTGGCCTTGTCTTTTCTACTAGGGTGTCGATTGACCAGTTGGAATCATTGGCGTGCCAGTGGAACTCTGGTGAGGCATGTTTCCTGCAATGACTCGAATGCTTCAGAAGAATCTTCAGACAGTGCTGAATCAGCGGATGAGAGAGAGGCGGGATCACGCGGACCTCGAGATCTGCATATCCCAGTCCGTAGCGCCTGCTGTCAACTTGTTTTGGATGTGTCGGTACGTGCAGTGCAAATCCAGACAGCTTCAAAGCTACTTGGCAGGCGTAAGTGGACATTGCTCGCACGGCGCTGCTTGGATGTCGTTGCCCTCTTCGTGTTCCCCTCTATCATGTGCCGGGTTTTGGCCTGGTGGCATATGTTGCTATGGTGCCTGCTTACATGCATTCTGCCTCCTGACCGGCGCAAGGAGCTGGTCGGATCAGGAGGAAGAAGTATTCGGGATCTGCTGGAAAAACCAGCGAGACTCATCGGATCAAGAGACATGTGGGCCTGGCTCAGAACCGGATACCTGCTCTTGCAGTTTTTATGGTGCATGCTCTTGGGTGGCGACATGTGGAGGAAGCAGCACGAGTACCTTTGGAACCACAGCTGCTATCCTATGTCAGAGTTGAATCAAATCTCGAGGGATGAACTGCCGATCCCCTTTCCGGTTCAGCTGCACACCGGGTGGTCTGTTTTTGGTCTTGTCTTTGCAGTCGGAGCTGCAGGTCTGGGAAGCTTGTGGATGCGATGCTCGTCAAAAATAACCTCGTCACCTCCTGTGAGTGTTCTTTATGTCGCCATGATTGCCGTCTGGGGTCTCTTGGTGATGGCGTTCTGGCCAGAAGCACCTGCCACCTTGCCACTGTCTCTGGCCGGCATTCTGGTCACATATCGCGCAGCTGTGTTCCTGCTGACGGTTGTCTGGGTCGTACTAAACCTGCCGTTGATCCTACCGTCTCCCCAAAGCACAGAAATGCTGACGGTTGTCTGGGTCGTACTAAACCTGCTGTTGATCCTACCGTCTCCCCAAAGCACAGAAAGGTGTGACATTGACGTAGGGCAAGGGCGTGGAAACACAGAAGATTTTTCAAAGGTTGTTGAGAAGGTGCGAAGGGTGGCTGAGAAGCGACGTGATCTTGCAAATGTCAAATTCAAAGAGAAACACTACTTCGAGAAGCGTTGCGAGCCACAGACACTGTTTACAGTCTTCCAAACCATGGCATTTTGGTTGTTGGACATATATCTGGATCTCCAGACGGTTGTGATCTTTGCAGCTGCGGGCTCATATATATACGCCTCACTGATTCTGGGGGCATTCTTTTGGGGGCTATTTGCAACGGCTTCAGAAGGTGTATTCAACAAAATTGGATCTGCCTTGCGGCAAACCGTGAGGACGCAAGTACGAGCGGAGGAATATCAGGCCTTGCTGGACCATGAAGCATCCATCGAAGTGCCAGTATCATTGGTCCTCTCGACATACGGCCTACCCCTTGTGGCCCATCGGCCAGCGGCTGCCATCATGACCGTGGCTAGTATCTTCATGTCAGTCGTGAATCAGGCTCAGTGGCTTTACGAAGAGTTTGATGTGTCTCAGGACCTAAGAAGTACACAGACAGTGGATTTGACTCCAAAGGCAGCTGGCGATACGTCGAAGCCCTTACCAGAGGACTGATCCGAAGCATATCCAGGAAAAAGTCTCTGCTGACTTGGAAATCAACAGCCAATAAGCGAGAGTTGGTAATGTAGGTTTAGTAATCAAGGGGAAATGAAGAAGAACACAAGACACAATGAAATTACAATGGATTCCTTATGAAAGCGTGATTTCAGTTCTGGCTTTGTTGCCGTTTCATTCCAAACAGCTAAATGACCAACGAAAACACGCGCTTCAAATCGCTCCGACGGTTTTCCTTCATGAGCTTGACACCTTGTTCCCATTTCCAAAAAACGCCCATTACACCTGGAATCACATAATATCATAATTGGATGGCTTAGACTATATTTTTATGTCTTTCATCATACATTAGGTTTGCGCTTATGTTCGTCGAATAACACAAAGGCGGACGAAACTAAGAAGCCAACTGCTTGTCTCACCTTCCGGAATGTCTCTGTTTCCAAAGGGTCAGCGCATTGGTGTTTCGGGACGCCTTATTGTGCTTTGCAAAGCACAAGCCATTTCTAATGGAAAATCCTCATTCAAAAGCTGTGTCCTTGTATGCTTTTTTTGGTTCTTTCTTTCTAATTACAATGGAATGAAACGAAAGCGTGAACGAGCGAAAGCCAAAGAAGAGAACTCACCTGTGTGTCGTCCCGATTGTAGTTAGTCGACAATGCACACCCCAAAGATTTGCTGGGCGAGGAATTCGTGGGGTCGGTTGTGTTAATCATGTGCGAAGAGCAGCCAGAAACACGGGCCGGGACTACAGGCTGATATGCCGCACTTATTGGCAACTTTCTACCCTCTTCTGAAGTTGAGACCCTACACCCATCAACGCATGAAACCCAAAATAGTTGAAGTCCTGTGCCGAACGCCTGCATCGTATGCCGATTCGGGTCAGAATCGGGTGGTCTGACTTGCTTTCCCACCACCTGTAACCGTCTTGGCGGCCAGCAGCCCGTTCCGCAGAGAAAGTGTCGTTCCGAACGGACATAGCATACCGTACGGGATGCAAGGGTATGTGGGTTTTGCCAGTGTCAACAGGACCTCCTTCTGAAGATAGGGGAGGGCTGGTGAGTGGGCATTCGGCGTGTTGCAATTGAAATATGAGCAATGAAAACCCCCCATGTTCCCTTGCTACCTGCTGTTCTGGCTGTCCCTCATCTCCTATAAACAGCTGCTGCATCATGCAGAACTACAGCTCCCAGACCCTAAATCCTAAACCTCAGGCCCGAAAGCCTCTAAAGCTAAGATCCTGCCTGGACTTGTCCGAGTGTGAGTGTCAGAGATCCCCTGAAGTTTGAAAGCTCCTGAATGCTGAAAAGATGATCTTAAGACCCAAGCCCAAAAGAACTCCCCTGAAGTTTGAAAGCCCCTAAACGCTTAAAAGATGATCATCTTAAGACCCAGACCCCAAAAGCTTCAAGGCTACAGGCTGTAAAGGCACCTACCAGAGATGGTACTTCGAAGCCGGATTGACGGCGACCACAATAATGGCAGCATTCATGATCGCAATAATAATCGGAACGACTCAGACAAAAAATGATAGTAGTAGTAAGAATAGTTATAGTCAGATTGACAGAAAGAATAGTCAGAAGAGGGTTTGGGGGTGCAGAGTTAGTGTGCAGGGACCGGGGGCAAATTGGTAGAATCATTAAAGAACAGGCGGTTTCTTGATCAAGGTGTTTAGCGTTTAGGATTTACCTTCTGTGCTCAGGACTCTCTGGCCCTTAGGAGGTCTGTAGGAATTGCCATAATGGATCTATGCTTAAAGGATCTTGGGACTCATAGTAACTAGGGTTATAAATACGGTAACTATACTTATAAGCACTTATAAGCCCACTTAAGGTACTTATAACTTATAACCTGACTTACTAAGTCCCTTCCAAGTAAGGGGGTGCTTGCTTGCATTGCGCTTCGGGGGTTTCGGGCCCCAAGCCGTGAGCCCAAAGCCCTGAAGTTTCAATCTCAAGCCTAAAGTACTTGGAGGTTCATGGGTAGTTATAAGTAGAGTTATAAGTAGGGGTAACTATACTTATAACCCATATTAGGGGACTTGTAACCCTACTTATAACTACCCATGAACCTCCAAGACCGGATGCAAAGGCGAGCACGCGGAAAGCTTGACATTCCGGAGCTTTCAGGATCGAGTTGAAAGTTTCTTGCAGGGTCTTCGGGTGTTTGTGGTTCAGGCTTGAAGTGTTACAAACCCTAAGGCTCAAAAGGGCCCAACAGCCTTGTATCATACGGTCTTTGGGCCCAAAAGCCGTGAACTATGAGTCCTTAGAGCCTTAGGGAAAGTTTCAGGCTTCAGGGGTTTGAGCCTTTAGATTTTTTTTGGAACCTCGGGTTGAGGCATTGCCGCTTGAAGGGTCATGAGACTCAGTGCATATGGCTGTAAGTAACAGCATGAACAGATATAAGTTATCAGTGTAGTTAGTAGGGGACTTATGACCCTACTAATTACTACCCGTGAACCTCCAAGTAGCTCTCGAGGTTTACCATTGTGGACTTCGATGACTTGGGTCCTACACTCGGCATGCCCCTGCGGATCCCAGATACCGCCTATCGAGGCCCTGAGCTGCTGCGACGGCGGAGGGGCTTGCGTTTGTCGGTGTAGCAAGCGGAGCTGGGGTGGTTGGTTCTTTTTGAACTTGGGAGGTTCATGTACACTAGAGGTCAACGGGTCTGAATGAAGGTGCTTGAAGATATGGACGCGCGTTGCTTTTAGGAGTTCGGGCCTAGCCAGGGTTTCGAGTCATGGAAATCTGAGACTCCTTCGCTTTTAGGCCCACCCCAGAAAGAACCTTTACCTCTTCGCTTTCCGCCTCAGCTTTTTTTCTGGATCCGATCTCCCGCAGCTTAGACCAAACCATCGAAGATGGCGCGTCTCGGAGGCCGTGCCCTTGCCCTCGCCGCCGTGGTCGGCGTGGCCGTGTGGTCCCAGACATGCCTGAAGGCTTTCTGTGGCGGTGGCTTGAGCCGTCCTGAAGGACCCGCCGTGGCCCGCAACGGATGGCGCCTTGACAAGATGGAGGTGGGACCCCAGGGAATCGGCCAGCTCGTGGTCGCTGAGGGCTTCTTCATTGGAGAGAAGGACATGTTCAAGATCTGCAACAAGCAGGGCCGTCGCTACCGCATGCGTCCTTTCGCGGAGGAGCGCAAGACCGACACCACCCTCCCCGGCATCTTCCAGCTTGGACCTTTCAAGATCCACCTGGAGCAGGCCTTCCGCGGTGGCGCTGGTTCTCATGCGCTCTTCGCCGATCGCCCGGAAGGCTACTCCGGCAACGGCGGCACCGCCGGCTGGGGTGAGGACATCCCCACTCGCAAGGGTGGCTACGGCAGCCGCTGAGTTTTTCTGAGCAGATCTGATCGACTCCAATTTTTCACGAAGACAGAGAGCGTAGTCTACACGTAGAGACGGCTCGCGACCTCAATGCTGAAGCACTCGCAGGGTCCACGGGACCCGAAGCTTAAGCCCCATTGCCCTACAGCCCGGCCCAAAAGACCTAAGTCCCCAAGCTTTAGGACTTCAGGACATCAACCTCTAATGAAGCACCCGCAAGGCGCATAAGATCTCTAAAGCTCTGGACCTCCATGAGCCTCAGTCGTGCAAAAACACCTTGGTTTTGCAGTAACTTTAACACTTATACCCTTGGTCTCGAGCTGGCGCAGTTGTTGTTGCAAATTGGAGAGCGAGGGAGAGAGGTGCACGCTGGAACCGGACAGGGGCTGCTTCCGTCCACCCGAAAACCTAAAACTCTAGATGCTACAAACGCTGTAACCACAAACGCTGTAACCCCAAACCATAGACCTTTCAAGCCCTGGACCCGAAGCTCTAAACCATGGAGATCGTAGACCTCTCGTAGACCTCAGAAAGGGTTCCAGGCTGCAGAGAGATGCGAGACGGAGGCACCAGGTTCTGCAAGGGAGGAGGCGCAAAACAAGCCGCAAGTGAACATGACATGAATCTCGCAGATTTGGGGTTTGGGTCTGACAATGCACCCTGCCTTCGCAAGAGACGCAGTTTAGAATTTCTCTGACAGATTTCGGCTTCAGCTTTAGAGGGATCACAGATCATTGAAGATGGCGCGTCTCGGAGGCCGTGCCCTTGCCCTCGCCGCCGTGGTCGGCGTGGCCGTGTGGTCCCAGACATGCCTGAAGGCTTTCTGTGGCGGTGGCTTGAGCCGTCCTGAAGGACCCGCCGTGGCCCGCAACGGATGGCGCCTTGACAAGATGGAGGTGGGACCCCAGGGAATCGGCCAGCTCGTGGTCGCTGAGGGCTTCTTCATTGGAGAGAAGGACATGTTCAAGATCTGCAACAAGCAGGGCCGTCGCTACCGCATGCGTCCTTTCGCGGAGGAGCGCAAGACCGACACCACCCTCCCCGGCATCTTCCAGCTTGGACCTTTCAAGATCCACCTGGAGCAGGCCTTCCGCGGCGGCGCTGGTTCTCATGCGCTCTTCGCCGATCGCCCGGAAGGCTACTCCGGCAACGGCGGCACCGCCGGCTGGGGTGAGGACATCCCCACTCGCAAGGGTGGCTACGGCAGCCGCTGAGTTTTTCTGAGCAGATCTGAGCGACTCCAATTTTTCCACGAAGACAGAGAGCGTAGTCTACACGTAGAGACGGCTCGCGACCTCAATGCTGAAGCACTCGCAGGGTCCACGGGACCCGAAGCGTAAGCCCCATTGCCCTACAGCCAAGACATCTAACACCCCCAACAGATATCCCAAAGTAAATCAGCCCAAGCATGTATGCCTAGAAGACCCTAGATACTAGTACGAACCTTCCACTTCTCAGCTTGGATGGCAGAGGTCTCACAGGTACGCCTTGTCTGGCCTTACAACTGACCTTCTGGGCGAGAGGAAAATCAGTCTGGAGAAGCCGTGAAATTCGCGGGTTGCATTGCAGTGGACCTCGGGTTTGTGGGGCGAAACGCATTGTGTTGATGATGGTTGCCCATGGCAACTGCCAGTGTCCCCAAGTTGCTGGGGCTTTGCATGCAGAGCCT